TATGTCTTGGGTTTCTTCTGTACCTATTCTTTACTAATTCTATCCTCAATTACCACACTACTTCGGGTAATTGGATCAACGAAACAACCACAACTATCACACTACTTCGGATAGTTGGAAATAATTAAACCACGGCTGATCCTTATACGTTAGGATACAACAGCCGGACAGGGTTTCAATATATATCGGTGGGGGGTAATTTAATATATCTCGGGTTTAGGTGGTTAGGGGTTTAGCGAATTTATTATTTTGGGTATTAGGAACTAATTTTTAAACCAAATGAGACGTTCAATATCGTCTCAAAGGGCCAACACGGCCTTTATTTATAATATAATTCTTTATTTACATTCGGAAGACATTCTTGCCATTAATCCCTATGTAGACTATGTTCGTTATATTGCCCTTTCCCGTATTATTGGCCTTATCCCCTACCTGGTTACTTCGGGCCTTTTGGTCCTTATTGCCCTCGTGACCAACGTTGCCAATGTTGCCAACATTCCCCGGGTAACCCTAATTCAGTATAACCGTGCACGTGGCTTCACCAGGTAACCAAACCGGGTTATAATTGTTGTACCTATAGGATTGGGGTACGATTAATTTACGGGGGGACCCGACCTGGTCACGTTACGGGTTTTACAATAGGGATTTTCGAAGATAAACTAACTCTTGGAGTTCCAATTTCGAAATTATAATAGCATAAGCACCTAAGTAGTATATACTCCTTATAACATTGTTGTCGTAACCAGTTAGAATAAGAGAGAAAGTAAAATAACCGATCATAGATTTGGATAGTGATGTTAAATAGTCCACAAGAAACCAGACTTTTTAGGACAGTTCAAGACCGTTCCAGAACTAGTTGAAATAATCACATGATATAAATGGGTATCATTTTTGACATAAAATAAAATTAAATAAATAAGTTATATGAAGAAAGATTGCCAAGAAGATGTGATATTTTATTAGATACAAAATATAAAAAATACTAGAGTATCTAATTAATTCACTAAATTCATTAGACAAAAAAAACTTTATCTACAACAAAAAGAAGATCATGAACTTTATCAATTAATTCTTAATTAGGTGTTTAACAGCTTAAATCGAAATTGATACATATTCTAATGCTGCAGTTATATTTTAAAAAAGATCTTAATGGTTTTTTTTATGATCCATATATTACCATGAATTTGACTAATTTAAAATCTATTCAGAAGAAGTTATATATGCAATGCAGAAAATTTTGCAAGCAACACAAACAATTATGCTTATTTTTGGTCCGTATGGATGAGAATGTTCATCATATTTAATGCAACACGAACAATATTCAAACCTTATTCCAACTTTCAAAGAAATTTTGATTTTACAGTTGAAGCAAAAAGATATTTCTCAATGTATATTAATGATTATATAGATTCATATTTTATAAAAGACGTCCCAAATTATATTCTAAGTACATACTTTGACTAAAAATACAGAGTTGAAATAAAGTATTTGTTAGGCATTTCTTTTTAATAAAATATTAGTGTTAGGTCATTCTTATAAAATTTGAAATTTTTATCAAATATTTTGTATCAAATTGCAAAAAATTTAGTTTATTGTGTGTGATGGCAAGAAAAACATTTTAGTGTCAGAATTGCGGGGGTTTTTTTTTTTTTTTATTTAAGATGATGTAATATTTTAGATTTCTAGTATCGTAATCGAACCATCTTTTTTTGATTACATATTCCACAAATAATTTTCCTCTGGCTTTGATATTGGCCTTAATTCTCTTACTATAGATATAAAATAAGCTAAAAAATATTCATATGTGTGACGCCAAGCAAATAAAATTACATTTTCGAATCACGAAACTTTCGGATTTGGCAATAAAGGTTTCAGTGTCCAACTTTAGGCGATTTACTTTTTGCAAAGTGGCTGCTCACAATGAACACGAAAACACAAACTAACAAATCAAAATATATTGACGTTAAATAACTAAAAACAAACAAACAATATTATGGACGTTAATTGGTATACATATGGGGTCTTTGCCTTGAAAATGACCTTATTCGACATTTCATATGACGTGAATTTTTTCGCCATGATATTTTTTGCATGAAATTACGTAATCAGTTTTGCAAAATATCACAGAAAAAACTTCACATGGTCATATTAACTATCCAATAACATCATTATTGAACATACGTACGACAAAATAACAGGCAATTTTTTTTTTCATTAGAGTTAATTTTACTCATGCAACAAAAAAAAATTGTCTGTTATTTTTTGTCGTCTGTCCAACTTACGGGACATAGTAAATCATACGATCCAAAAGGCAAAGACCCCATATGACAAATTAATTGCTAATGAGAAATCAGCTAAAAATAGTAATATTAAGTGTTACCATTAATAGAAAAAATTAGAAGTGTTTAAACTCGAACTTTCTCTTTCTAAATCAATATACAAGATACTGTTTTAGTTCAATTTTATACTGTAAAGGTACCAGAAATAAAGATATGTGCAATATTACTCATTATGAAAGTAAATTATATATATAACCACTATTTTTGATTCTTCATGAGCCAATATATATCGCATAAAATCTTGACAAAATGAAAACTCTAATAATCCCTATTTCAGAAATAAAAAATCATATTTTTGATTTTCAACCTGGCAAAGAATTCAAAACAGAATGGTGTCTTGATCTCCATGGCTTTTTAACTCGTAATGGGCTTAATGAAAGACTTGATAGGATCAATTTTCATATTCGAGATTATCCGCTGATGAGCGAAAAAACGAAGACAAAGTTATATTTGCTTAGTGGTATATGGGCTACTTTAATAGTTGTAATTGCTGTTGTCGCTTTTAACGCTAGCTATGCTAATTATGAGAGTAACATCTATTCAGCAAATTCTCAACCTCCCGATGTGAATAGTGCTATTGCCGGCACCTCAATTGTTGAAGCATTGATTGCCGCTTTAACATTTCTTGCTAGATATCTGATTGACCAGAAATCAAAAAAGTTAGCTAAAAATTTCGAAAATAACTTAAAATTTTTGCTTACCGAATATAATAATCAGGATAATCCGACTGCTAATTGGAGATTTGTATGGCGATCAGTGCTTTCTCATTTCAGTGTAGAGGCAAATGCAAGTTTAAATGGAAGTATTAAAGGGAAAGCTGTGCCGCAATACGTCGAACATGCTGAAATATTGCTTGAAATCAACGATGCACTTTCTGATTTAACTGCTAATACTGTTTACGTGAACAAAGAAATTACAAACAAT